TTCCTCAAAGGCCGATGAATTTAAAAGGTCGTGACACAGGCTGGTCGTATATCCTTCAGGTGCGATAAGAGCGGGCGATAACAGCCTTTCAGAGCCGATTAGTTAATGATAATATACTTAACCTCCGTAAGGCCCAGGTTAGGTCGGGGTTAAGTTTCCCATTTTCCTTATTTCACCCAGACTGTAGTGCATAGAAAACGGGGATTTCCGAACGATAACTTTTGAAAAAGTTGGTGAATTGGGTTTATATTCGAAGTTAACAAATATTATGATAGAAACGGAAGTCAGATTTCAATTTCGGTTACAGTTTGACACGTTTTAGACATTCTGATTAATGAAAGGTGTGCCAATGGTAAAGCTGTGTCTTTTTCGTTATTTTTTATTCTTTCATTTACTCTTTTTTTCTTGATATTTCTTTTACGCCCGTTTTTTTCTAAATCTTCCTTTTCATCCTCTTCTCTTTTCTGATCTTTTTCAATGTTATTGTTTTTGTTTACTTTATTTTCTCTTTTTGAATTCCATTCCTTACACATCCTATTCTTCTCTCTCTTCCTCCCTCTTTTTTTCTCATTTCTCTCGATCTTTTGTATATTCTTCTTCCGTTTCCCTTCGTCTTTATTTTCCTTCCTTCCCTTTCGCCAGAAAATAACTCTTCCTGATATATCATCTTAATCACCTTTCCCACCTCCTTTTTCTACCTCCTTTCGTCATTTTCTTTTTTTTTTTTCTTTTTCATTAAATGGAAGATACGGGTCGGTTGAAAACAGGATTTTTCCACTTTCCTAAAAGTTGCGTAACTGTGCAAGTTTCCGGGTTTATATAAAAAAAGACTTTTATTGAATATACAGGTTACAACATTAATTTTTTTTTCCGGAAGTAGAAGTAGGGTTTTAACGGTCGTATGGTTTTGAAGGATGTGTGAAATGTAGCGATTTGATATAAGATGCATGTACTGTTTTTTTATTATTATATTTATTTATATAGTTGATTATTTGGTTTGATTCATACATGCCTGTCTCTGTCTCTCTCTCTTCATTTTCTCTCTTCTCTCTCTCTCTCTCTCTCTCTCTCTCTCGTCTCTTCTCTCTTCGTCTCTCTCTCTCTCTCTTCTCTCTCTCTCTCTCTCTCTCTCTCTCTCTCTCTCTCTTCATTTCTCTTTCTCTCTCTTACTTCCTCCCTCCCTCCTTCTTTTCCACTCTCCCTCCCTCCTACCTTTCTTCCCTCCCACCCAGCCACCCACCCACTCTCCTTCCATCTCTCCCTCCCTCCCTCCATCTTTCCTTCCCTCTCTCTCCCTTTCCAAACCCTCCCTCCCTCTCTCTTTCTAAAGCACGTGACACTGTAAAATCCCAGTGACATTCACAATTACATTAATTATCACAATGATTCGTGTCTGAGCATAAAAGTTGCTACGATCGGTCGCTAGCTTTGCGAGCGGTTAGCGGGTCCAGCTATCAGCGCTAGACAAAAACCTGAGCTAATATCCATAATGGAATGATTGAAAAAAAAAAACATTGTTATCAATCGCGACAAAAATTAATGGGATTTTTTTTGTCGTTCTCTCTCTCTCTCTCTCTCTCTCTCTCTCTCTCTCCTCTCCTCTCTCTCTCTCTCTCTCTCTCTCTCTCTCTCTCTCTCTCTCTCTCTCTCTTCTCTCTCTCTCTCTCTCTCTCTCTCTCTCTCTCTCTCTCTCTCTCTCTCTCTCTCTCTCTCTCTCCTCTCTCTCATCTCTCTCTGTCTCTCTCTATGTAGGCAGGTATGTATGTGTGTATACATGATTGTAAAGTATGTACGTACGTATGTATATATAAATTTGTATACATGACTAGTGTACGTATGTGTTTGTGTACATGCGCATTGATTCCATGCTGTGATTGCGTGGTAAATACATTGTTTACATCGTTCTGCCATAATGCTTGTGTTTAGGGTTTGAATGTTTCTGCACTCATACTTGGTTTAAGAGCTTGGGTGTCTGAAAGTTGCTTTGGACGCTGGAATGATAATAGACAGATCCTTTGTGGTAGTCGTACATATCTGTCTGTCTGGGTGTCTGTCTGTCTCTTGGTTTGTCTAGCTTTTTTAAAATTCTTTTATTTTTCTTTTCTTTTATCTCTCCTTAATTAATCCCTTTGTCCCCCTCTTCATCCTGCTTCTCCTGCTTTTCTTTTTTCTTCCTTTCTCTTCCTTTTTCTTCTCCTACATCTCTCACCTCCACCTCACCTCTTCTTCCTTTTCCTCCTTTGTCCTCCATTCCTTTATTCTTATTCATTTTCTACTTTTTATTATTTGTTAATTCCCCTCTTTACCTCTCTGCCTATATATATTGACCTTTATTTCCATTTTCTTTATTTTCCATCCTGAGAATCCGTTTCATTAGTATTAAAATTTCCATTAAAGTTCGATTAAGTATGAAAATGTATAAAGTAAAGGGAGTACGTGTATAAACAGTTTTGAGCTTGTAAAGTAAGGAGTTTATCCATTTAAAGTATTTCAAAGTGAA